GTGAGGACTGGGGCTCAAGTAATAGCTCTATCGAGAGCAATGAGAATAAGTGAATTGTGACTTGCCTTGCAGACAGCGTATTCTGCTTGCTACATAAACCTTTTTCTGTCAACGTATGTGCAATGTTGCTTAAGTCGTAGCTTTTGTGGAGCCTTTCCTTCATATCAAATGTGTCGGCAATATGCAATGATTTTTTTTGTCCTTCTCGGCAAGCTGAAAGTGGGGCTGCGCAATATATTAGCTTCGAATGAGTTTAGAGTCTATACATTGTTAGATTAGATACAGTGTTAGGAATATACTTCAGTTACTGAATTTTTTAAATAACGGGCTGACTTTCGTATATGGTTCTACAGTAGAACCCCGCTGTTGCGTTCCCGTGTGCTGCGTTTTCCTGGCTGTTACGTCGTTTTCGGCCGGTCCCGGCACAGCTCCCATAGGATCCAATGCATTGGGCACCCCGTTGCTGCGTCGCAACTGTGGGACCTGTTCCCGCATCATACGTTGCAAAGTGCCACGACGCGCCTGGCCCGAGCGGCCATGTTGTCTTTAATGTAGCTTGGCTTGGCGGCTTGACGATGGGATTGGCCGTCCAAAGTGCCGGGGGCAACACCTATGACATATTTTCGGTTCATGCCAACAAAAGCATGACCTTTGAGATCCGTATTTGCACTCTAAGAAAGATTGTGTCTATGACTCGTTGGGGCCCTAAAATTAGGTTTTGGCATCTGTAAAAGTAAGGTCTCCGAGACCTGTTTTTGTTTTCTTGGGATGTCATGCTGGCTTAAACTTATCGCCACCGGGTCGCGCAGGCGGCCCCATTCAAAGGGTATAGCCCGATCGCCATCACCATCGCCCATGTGTGCCCGTGCTACCCGTGCTTGCTGCAGTCTTCTCGCATTGCCTTTATTTCGTGTCAGTCATTGCGCAGGTTGTACGAGCGTGCAGCATAGTGCCTTTACACTTCCAACGCTTCAAATAGTCTTCAGACAGGATGACATCAAGAAAGCGGAAATCACTTTCGCTGCAAGAGAAGTTGAACATTCTCCGCGTTGTGAAAGAGAACCCGACGCGGAAAAAGTTGTGTATAGCGAAGGAGTTAGGACTGACGCCTTTCACCTTGAACTCTATCGTTTCAAAACAGATCAAAATTGAAGAAAATGCCCGAACCTTCGACCTCAAGTGCAAGCAAGCCCGGAGTTCGGAGCACGTACAGCTTGACAAGGCCGTTTTCATATGGTTCAAACAAGCCATGGCCGCAGGAGTTAACTTCGACGGTACCATCTGCAAGAGAAGGCACTCGAGATCGCGACAAGCTCGGTATCGACGGTTTTTGGGCATCTAACGGTTGGATCGACCGTTTCAAAAACAGACATGGATTATGCTACCGCACTGTCAACGGAGAGGCTGCAAGCGTGGACACGGAGACTGTTGAGGCCTGGAAAGAGACCGTGGTGTCTATCATAAAGGACTACGAGCCGAGAGACATACAGTCGAGCCCGACTATATTGAGCCCAGTTTATATCAAATTATCCCGTATATCGAACAATTCCTAAACACGGTAAATTTACATTGAGAATATATAGCAAAAGTTACTGTTTTATTGAACGAAAATAGCAACTACAACTGGTATATCAATCTCCATGTGCCTCAAAAGTGCCCCAGCAAGTTGGCTTTCTCCTCGCGGTGGCGGGGAAAACTCCCAGCGCCACCACCAGAAAAAGTTGGTTAGATCCGGTTGTGCGCGGTCAAACACCCCCCTCCAAGAAATTATCCTGGCCCGCTCGCAGCGCTTACAGCCAATCAGAGGCCGTCGTGCTTTCTACGAGGTGCGGAGGCGGTAGAAGTGAGCGCCATTTTTTCTTTCTTTATGCTTGTGTGCCTGCTGCTGCCGATTCAGCGTGGTCTGTGGTGTTGCCTGTTGGTGCTCTGTGAACTAACTGTATTGGCGCCCTGTCATCATGGCTTGCGCAAAGAGGCAAAATTAGCCGTTCGCCGCGAATCTCGAAATCATCAATCGGGTTGAGCTTGGTAAAAAGAAGTCCGACGTCGACGCCGCGTAAAAAATTCCAAGGAGCACCTTGAGTACTATCCTGAAGAACAAGGCAGACATCAGGGCCAAGTCGTACAAAAGGCCAGGTAACCGTGGCGCCCGACGTGTGTGTGCTGCTGTGTACAAAGATGTTGAAGCGGCCGTTTACAAGTGGTTTGTGGACATTCGGTCGCGAAACTTCCCGGTGTCCGGCCCTATGATCGAGCAGAAAGCCATGGGTCTTGCTTTTCTGCTTGGGAGGAATTATTTCCAAGGCGGTTCAGGCTGGCTTCAGCGGTTCAAAGAACGGCACGACATCGTTGGCAAAGCTGTTACAGGTGAAAGCAGAGCGGCGGACCTGGACAGCCTAGAAAATGGCTCGAGGAAAACTGGCGTGATATCGCAGCAAGATATAGAGCCCAAGATATCTTCAATGCGGATGAAACCGCTCTATTTTGGCAAATGTTGCCAAATAATACACTTGCTTGTCGTGGCGACAAGACAAGCGGCGGCAAGGCAAACAAAGCTCGTGTGTCCGTGCTGTTGGCAGCTAATTTAGATTGATCGAAAAAGCTTCGCCCTCTGGGTATCGGGAAAAGCACGGCTCCGCGAGGTGTTTTCGAAATGCGCTGTCGCTTCCAGTTACCTACCAAGCAAACTCAAAAGCGTGGATGACCGGGGAGCTTTTCAGCAGATGGCTATCGTCGTGTAATGATGATTTGGTAGGCAAAAATCGCAAGGTGTGCCTGCTCGTGGACAATTGTTCATCGCACCACTGCAGTACGACCTTCAGCAACATCGAGTTGCGTTTTTTGCCCCCGAACACTACGTCTGTGCTGCAACCACTGGATCAAGGCGTTGTACGCGCAATGAAAGCCGGCTATCGGAAGCGCCTGGTGGAGAGGCTGCTGCAGAACCTTCGTGTCGGCAGGTAGTTTAAGATTGACCTGCTCGGAGCTATTTCTATGTTGAGTAGATCGTGGGCAGATGTTAAGAAGGAGGCGATCCAGAACTGCTTTAGGCGTACCGGCTTCCGCATGCCTGGTGATGATACCCCAAATTCTGACAGCACTGAAGACACCGCAGGTGTTTCCGCCGAAGTTTGGAACGAGCTGGCAGAGTTCCCGGGTGCTATTGACGGATCGACATTCGACGAGTTTGTCAGTGCGGACGATGACGTCCCCATCATGGGCCAATTCCAGGATGAGGATTACATTGCAGACGCCGTGCCGACCACGAGCCAAAGCGACAGCAATATGGAAATTGACGACGGCCCATTGCCTACATCCTCCGAAGTGATTAGTGCACTTGCTTTGGTCCGGCGTTATTGCTTCAATGTGAAGGTTGCGGCTTCTCCGACTCATTGGACAACGTGAGGCGTGCGTGCTGTCGCAGGCAGTGAAGTCGTTGACACAGAAAAAAATCCGGGACTATTTTGTTTCACAGTAGGGCACGCAAGTAAGCCACCATATTAATAAAGTACTTTTCTTCTAGCTTGTTATGTGCCTTTGTGTCAAAACCTATACCGGGCCTATATCGAATTATGCCATATATCGAACTAATAAACGTTTTTTGGCGAGTTCGATATACCCGGGTTCGACTGTATTCAATGCCGATGAAGCAGGCCTTTTTTTCAAGGTACAGCCCTCTAAGACGCTGAGCCTAAAAGGCGAGGCTTGTCACGGTGGAAAATGCAGCTAGGAACGACTAATGGTGCTGCTGTGCTGCAACTCCGATGGTTCGGAAATGATGAAACCATGGGTGACAGGAAAGTTTCGAAACCCACGCTGCCTTAAAAATATTCGTCACCTGCCCTGCCACTACAACAATAATACCAAAGCGTGGATGGCGTGTTCACTTTTTGCGGAGTTCTTGAAATACATGGACTCTAAGATGGGCTGCCAGAACAGAAAAGTCGTTCTTTTTCTCGACAATGCTCCACACAGTTCAAGGACTCTGCGTCGCTGCGGAATGTAAAGGTAGCTTTTCTTCCTGCCAACACCACGAACCACCTTCAGCCCTTGGACGCTGGAATAATGAAAAATGCAAAGCACTTCTACCGCAAGTGCACTGTAAAGCGGTCCCTGGCCAGCGTGGAGCGAGGGCAGCAGCCAGCAGGCGTCACCATCTTAGATGCCATGCATTATTTAGCATCAGCTGTGGAGCACCGTCACTGCTGCTACAGTTGAACACTGCTTCAACATGTGTGTCTGTGTGCGCGCAGATGACACAACAGATGCTGTTAGAGACGGTGCGTTCGCAGACTGCGACGAACTGAACACTGCCATGGAGACTGTTAGTGCCAGTGGAATCGCGTACAGTGACTACGCTTCTGTTGACAACGCCGTTGTCACCTCCGCGATGTTACCGTCGAGGACATCGTGGCTGAGTGCGCCGATCCGTGCGCCAGTGACGAGGAAGTTGAGCAGGAGGTGGAGCGGATACCGGAGCCAAAGTCCTCATCGGCCGTAGCGGCAATGGATTTATTGTGAAAATATGTGCGCACCAGTGACGATGGCGAGAGCCACATGGCACTACAGGTGCTTGAAAAACGCCTTGTGCATGTCGGGCGTGAGAAGATGCGCCAGGCAACGCTGCATGATTTTTTCAAGCGAAAGCATTAAAATAAACTATGTGCAGTTCATCACTACTCTTATTTCTCAATTTTTCGCATTTCTCGGCTCTTGCGTTTCCAGGCTCCTACGTTTTTTTTTTACGGTCCCTTGAAAAACATATCAGCGGGGTTCTACTGTACTTTGTTATATTGAGGTTTCGGTGTAGTGTATCCAACTTTTGCTGCCCTCATGAATGCAAAATGGAGACAGGTCTGTTGCCCAAATTTTAGAGCTATGGAAATGACCAAGTCAGAAACTTTATGAGCTTACCAAACATCTCGTTGCCATTTTATTCATATCTTAAGTATTGATGTTTTCTTAAATTTTATATCGGCCGGAATATTCTTTTACTGCAGCTCTCCTCAGTGCCAGCATCTCCTGCTGCATCTTATGGCATCCCTGCCACTGGCACAGCCTTACCAGCCATTGCTGCTAAGACAAACCCACCGTTACAAGGTAGGCTGTACTGTTGTTGGGCCGATTTTAGCTGTTTTCAAACACCAAACTCTCTGAGAGGTGCGTTAGGATTTTGCTTTGTTATCTTTTTGTCATAATTCATTTTTTTATAATGATAATTTCAATGTTCAGCCTGCTAAGTTTCTAATGTTGCTTCCGAAAATGGTAGAATGACTGAAAAGATTTGTTTCATTAGGCAACTTGCAAAATGCCTGTTCAAGAAACATTTCTTCAGTTGCGTAATATATAAGCATTTCTGCTTGTTGGAAAAAGAAGTGTATTTTTTTTTACATAACTTGGTGTGGTCCACTTACCTTGGCAAAGCATTTCCTAGAACGAATTTTTTCATAATTGAACGGTAAAAACACGAATCACGAAAAAAAAAATTGGGCTAGACTTGTGTACCATTCGTGTGTTGTGTAGTTGTCTTGTCCTCGTTTTTTGTTTGTCCGTCATCCCCCCCCCCCCCTTCATGCTTCTAGTTTCGTCTTTTGGTCTTTTGAAATTGCATCATATTGCAGCCACAAGCATTTCGGTCTGTTTGCTTGCCAGATCGGCCTCTTCTGTGTTTGCTTTACTCGTCAGTCCTTTGCTTTGTATCGTTGTCGGTGCGTCCCAGTGATACATGCAGCAACAGATTCGCACAGGTACAGCCACAATTGTGATGACGTCTCGACATGCCAACCTTTTATGGAAGTAAAACAGATAATCATCTTTTTGCGTCACTCGTAGTAGATACCGTATTTACTCGCATAATCCTTTCACTTTTTTGCCTAATGCAAAGTTGGGGGGGTGCGAGAATTACGGGGGGAAAACTTTCTACGAAAACGTTCAGAGCAAAAAAAGAAACGGAGTGGCCGCAAATCGGGATTCTCACACCTGCAACTTAAGCAAGCTTTAAGAAGTACTAATTAGAACTTACCTCAACAATCAAAGCAGAGGTTCAACACAAGGCAAGATTTATTTACGACACAAAAAGTGCAAGCAAATAGTCGAGAATTAAGGGGAGATGCTCCTCAAAAAGCTTATTTTTTAGATATTTCTGACATCTCAATGAAACTTTCACCAGTTATAGCGTTGCAGCTCCTCTTTTCAAATCTGCTTTTATTTTTTCATGGCTCATTTAGTTAATTTTTTGCAGACCATGCATTTGTAAAAACAATGCTTTCTTGTGCAAGCTTAGGCAACAATAGTAAGCACAAGAAAGCTCTAAAAAATAGCCAATGTTGCTCCTAATGAATAGCGGAATTCAATAAAGCAAAGAAACATTCTGTAACATTTGTGTGCCGGCCCAGAAAAAAGTTCTAATGCTGAATTTGAGTTTTACCATACACTAGGAACAAGCTCCTGAAATTATCCAGCTGAATATGCTTTCGAGACCTCTGAAAGTTGTTTATTTGAATTCAGGACATGTTAAACTTTAAGTATGCCAAGTTTCATTGCAATCCGACTACGTAAAGCGTACAAATTATGGTGCACAAGCTCGAAAAATGAGGAACTGAGAAAAAGCGGTTTGAAAGTTCAAAAACATGTTTAAGGGGGGGCGCGGCAAGTAAAGTGCCGATTTTGGTCAAAATATGCGATTTTCTGATTTATTTTTTTTCGTAATCTTCAGACCTTCAACTTCCTTGTTCTAAAATATTACAGCGAAACGTGCGCTACAAATCCCGCAAATAGTGTTTTTGCCGAGGCTAGTCGCCAAAAAGTGCGAAAAAAAAGCCCCTGAAACGGTGTTGTTCACGCCGCACAAACGCGCCAAGTTGTTGACCGTGGGCCGCCATTTTGGTAGCTTTGGAAAGAGGAGAAAGCCGGCTTCCCGATGGTCGCGGTCTCGTATTTCGCCGAGTGAAAATAAAAGCGCGAGGAGCAAGTAAAAAAAACGAAAACGAAGAACGGCAATTGGCTGCGCGGGTCACGTGGTAGCAGGCGCGACCTCTTACTGGTCAAAGCTGCGCCGCGCACCTTGGCAACCTTGGAAGCGCGAGCGCATCTGCGGCCGCCGTGTCGAGAATCATCCGGCGTGCGCTTCGTTTTTTGCCAGTTTGCTGTTTTGTGATAGTTCGCGTGCTTTTTTTACCAAGCTTTGTTACATCGGTGGTCTCTTCTGAGTGCTTGCTCATACTGCGGTGCTATGTTGCCGCAAAAAAAGTTCCGGAGCGTCCACAAGTACGGCAAGCGTCGGAAAGCTTGGAACAAAGGGCAGACGACTGCGGCTGCCGTCCCAGTCGCAGTTCCGGACGGAGCATGCTCTTCGAGCGTCACGGAGCCTCTACTCAGACCCTTCGCTGATTGTTGTGAGGCCGAGAGTGTGGAAGGTGCCACATCGTCGTATGTCAGACCGCCGGATGCCGTCGACCGTGATGGACGCTCTCGCGAACCCGATTGCGGTGGCACCGCGTCGGCAGCCGTTGCAACTCCGGGCGTGCGCGCGTCGAACATTCTATCGCGAGTTTCGGCCCAGATTCCGAGCAGTGAAGAAATCGCGCAGCGGGCGCAGACAAGGCGGGATGTTTTGGATGCCGTAGCATCGAAGTCCGCTTCAAAGCGGAAGCTCGAGCTTCTGAACGAAGGCTGCGACGAAAATGACGGCGGTAAGGACTCCACATTCTTCATTGTAAATAAGAAGATGCTGAACGGTCTGCTTTCGTCAGTAAAGTGCAACAAGTGCGACGAAGGGTCGATACGCCTCGAGACTACGCACTGCCTTGGACTCGCGGCGAGGATGGAACTTTTTTGTGACAATTGTGGCAGAGTGAACAGTGCGTGGTCGTCCCCGAGGTGCTCCGGGCAACAAAAAACGAACCCCTTTGAGGTAAACGTGCGTGCTTTGAGGGCTGTGCAGTCAGTTGGCAGAAAACAATCTGCCATAAATGACATTTTTTCTGCGATGGACATTTCGCATCGAGCACTGCACCACAAGTCCTACCAGAGACTGCAAAGGAAGTACAGCCACCCTGCCAGCACATCAGCTGCCACCCGCATTGAAGCAGAAAGTGCACAGAAGGTGCATGACATTTACAAGGACCTAGGAGGAGTGCCAGGCAACATTGACGTCATTTACGACGGCACGTGGATGACGAGGGGGCACAGAAGTCATATTGGCGTGGGCTGTGTAATCGAGCTGTACACAGGCTTGGTCTTGGACCACTGTGTCCTGTCCAACTACTGCCAAGGCTGTGCTGTTGGCCCCAAGCCTGGTGACGACAACTATGAGGAGTGGCTTGAGAAACACAAGCCACAGTGCCAAAAGAACACCGATGCTAATGCAGGCCAAATGGAAGTAGAAGCAGCTAGGATCATGTTTGAAAGATCGTTTACCAAGTACAAGCTTCGATACATCAATGTGCTCTGCGACGGTGACAGCCGTACGTACCTTGCCCTCACGCAAGACAAGGTGTATGGCTACATGGTGATTAAGAAACAGGAGTGTGTGAACCATGTGAAAAAAAGAATGGGCACTTCCTTGCGCAACCTTCTTGATGAGCACAAATCCAAAGGCCGAGGACTGAGCATGGGTGGCAAAGGCCGGCTGACGCAGGGCCTGATAAAGAAGTTGACGAATTATTATGGCTGGGCCATTAAGAGCCACCCCAAGGATGTTCCTGGCATGGAGAGGGCCATCATGGCCACTTATTACCATGTAACATCCACAGACCAGGATCCACACCACAACCTGTGCCCAAGTGGGACTGACTCCTGGTGCCCGCACAATCAGGCATTGGCCAAGGGAGAGCCGCTGCCGCCTCACAAACATAAACTGCCCCCTCACGTGCGAGTGGCACTGCTGCCAATCTACAAGCGCCTCTCGAACAAAGAGCTCCTTGAAAGGTGTGCGCAGGGAAAAACCCAGAACGCTGTGGAGAGTATGAACAGCCTCATTTGGTCACTCCAGTCCAAGAGCCAGTTCGCCTCCCTTCGAAGTGTGGAAAGTGCAGTTGCAGATGCAGTCTGCCGTTTCAATGGTGGCTGCAAGAGTGCGCTGCAAGAGATCACTGCTCAACTGGGCTTCAATCCAGGAGACTGCTCTTTGCGGCGAGCAGCCGAAAAAGATGCCAAAAGGGTAAAGAGGGCTCAAAAAGCGCATTGTTCCACGACAAAGAAGCGCAAAACTGGGTTGCGCTCTACAGAGGCCAAGGCCACAGCATCTCAGGATTACTGCCCAGGAGGATTCTGAGTGTTTTAGCCATGTTGTGAACTTCCAAACAAGAGTGAACTTTCAAAGTCAGTTTTCTCAACTCTTGATTTTCGCCTATGTGCCTTCGCTAGAACATCTGTCATTTTCTAACAAAGACTGATAGAGTCGTTCCGTTTTTTGCACTAGGCTCAGGAGGCCTTTAGCAGTGCAATAAAGCTTTATCTCTCTTCTTACTCATCATTTGAAATTTTTAGAACACATTTTATAATTACTGCGATGTGTGCGCAAAACAACATCCATGTTTTGGAAATTTTATTTATGGTTACAAGAACTAGAAAAATCAACTAATAGCTTCTTTGCACAAGTTGATGCTTTGGGAACATAATAATATGAAAAAATAATTTCATTTAGCAATAATTATCTCTTTAAGTGTGAAGAGCATTAATTAGTATAATTATGCTTGTAACTCAAAAACTACAAGAGGTATTTGAAAACGGTTTTCATATTTGGAATCCTCACAATCATCCACATACACACACCAAATTTCATCACAGACAGTACATTAATAAAAAAATTAGTTTTACTTGCCACGTCCCCCCTTAATACTATACTCTTCAACCAATCTGAATGAAATTCACAGAGAATGTCAGCAAAGCTATCTTGAAAAAGTTGACAGTTTCAGAATAACCCAGCACTATATATTGGATTCAGACTGCAAGCTGTCTCTTCCCGACGGGCATTTTTTTTTTTTTTTTTTCGGTACTGCGGCGACGGGCCGTTGCTCTCGGGTTCATTCGAAGTATCGGCGGCGGTATGCATTTTTTTTTTTTTTTTTTTGCTAATGGCAGTTCTTGAACACTAATGATTGCACGAAACCCGCACAAGCTGCTCGTGTCCGATGCCGATCGCACGCAGTGCGACCACCGACTTCACGCTCACAGCGAAGCTGTCCCGTGCACTGCCGTACGTCTCCTCGCTTCCACTGCATGACTGATACACGTGGCTTGACGCATACGGGGACGAAACAACAGTTGCGGCACATGCGTCATTTCGGCGCTAAAGTTTCGAAAGCGATGCCAGTCCTTATCGTCTACTTGCCATTACTCAAATAGACAGCTCGCACCGCCCGCAGTTGGAGCATACTACGCCACTGACGAGGTTCTGCATCGCATCGGTCTCACAAATAAATGTTCTTCCGCGTTCGTCCTGACACTTGCTCCAGTCGTCGAACATCTTTATCTTTCACTCTGAAGCGCTGACGAAGTCATCGACTGTAGGAATAAAGCTTGAACAATCCATATCGGGTGCGTCGCTGCTGCCGCGGCTAGGCCTAGCAGCAGACGGACCTCTCGCCGGTGCTCACTGTTTGCGTTTGGGGTGCCGTGTAGCCCGTGAAATTTCAAGAGCCGGCGATGCCATAGAGCGAAGTGCCGCCTGCATGAAAATCGGGTAACTTCGCACTTTCCCGAGCCACCGCGAGTGCTTTAATTGTATTTTTCGGTAACTTCTAGCTGATTCTCAGCTTTGATTTTTTAATATATTAAGGAGAAAGCTTGGAGAAATACAAAAGGCAAGAAAACACAAAATCGACTTTTTCGAAAAAAATCGCGGTTTTTCGACCCGCATCTCCCCTTAAAATACCATACGCAAAGCTTGTGGGTGTTGCGGGCCTAACGGTAGCATTCGTTGCTCAACAGTATTGGGCTGATGGCTATTTAACATAATCGTCCGCAGTTTCCTTCTGAAAAAATAAAGTTTACCATCAATCCCAGTTTTAGGCCCACGGCAGGCCCAACACGTCTTGGCGGCTTTCAGCTGCTGTCACAAGTCGCAAACACAAAACTCGTAGACTCCGAAGGGCTTACCGGCGGCCCTGTTGCCGTCGTTTGAAGCATGATCTATCACTTGCAACTTGAAGCAGCCGTGTAGCTTCAGTATCACCACATAACGTGCCAAGACTCCCGACGCAGCATACAAAACACGCCGCAACACGCACTGGCCACTTTGGCTTAGCTTGGATTGGATTGAATCTGCGCGCAATAGTACGCTTGATGCTTAAGAGATGGCGTGCGTTATCATCATCAGCAGCTAGAACGAGCAGACGACATTATTGCGGCAGTTTTCGGGGGTGCGATAATTACTCGAGAGAAAAAAATCGTATTTTTCTTGGGCGATGTGGGGGGTGCGAGAATTATGCGAGTGCGAGGATTACGCGAGTAAATACGGTAATGCAAGAGGTATTTGGTCTGGTTCGCGTTTATTAGATTTGAAGGGTATTGCGAAATAGATGCATTGTCAATATGGTATGACTGCAGTTAATTCTAGGTAGGTAGCATGCTCTACTGCAATGCGGTTTCTTTTGTTAATGGTATGCTTTTCAGCATCACAATGTTCTTTTGCATGGGAGCGCCTACTAAGGCAAATTTAGGGTAGTGGAGCTTGAAAGGAACCCTTGCCTGTGAGCCTTCCATACATCTTGAGATGTTTGCACCCCACGAATCATTCCTTTCACGACATGTAAGTACATTCACGCTCAATGCCTTGTGAGACTGCCGGCTGAAGCAGGGTCGTTTGGTCCGCATAAATACTTACAAAGGTATGAGGAGCGATTGCAGCCCCGTTAGAAAAAGCAAACTTGTAGAGCTGCAGCATGACACAGTGTTCGAATATTCAAAGTGGCATTTGCTACGCTTTGTCATGTGGGTCCTAAGGGAACATTACAAGCATCCTGCACAGACATCAAAGGGACACTGAAGTGAATCAGTTTAGATTAGGGCTGTGCAAATATCGAAATTTTTGAACAGGAATCAGATACGAGTACATAGCTTCGAATGGGAATCGAATATGAAGAGGTGCGATCCAAAAGGTGCGATTTTTTCGGCAGTAATATTTTACCTCATTGTATATTTTGTGGAAAACTGTGCTATCCTGTTATTGCACAAAGAATGCTACTCTGTTATTGCACAAAGAAAGTGCTACCAACTGTACTTGCTAGGAAGCATATGACGGCGCTAAATAATTGAGCTTGTGACTTTGATTGTTAAGGTTTAATTCACGTGTTGAATTAATGTTTTTTTTTCTCTTTCTTTATTTAATTGGACTTTATTACTAAAAGAAAAGCACTTGCACCTGCCATGACACTATCATGTACGAGGCCGCTAGTTTAACTCCTGCCATGGCTCCTGCATTTCAATTAGGTGAAAGGTAACAGTTGATTCACTTGTACTCAAATCGAAGTGATTATTCGAGCACCCTAGGTGGTCAGTTTATCCGGGTTCTCTCACTATCACTTTCGGCATGTACGACCCCCGATTTCATCGCCCCGTGTTCTCATCAGTCGACACACTAAGGCAAGCAGCAGTGCTTGGGGTGTCTCTCGACTTCACAGCAATGCTTGTCATCTGGCTTGCTTTCATTCCTTTTCTTAAAATCTATATGCTCGTCATTTTCCTATCAAAAGTTGTCTGTCACGATGACATGGCTGCACGATCGAAGCCAACACGTATCGAGCACGCGGTGCTAACACGAGGCACGCAAGACAGATGGGGACTGTTGTTTGAGAGAAAAATGCCCCAATATGCCTTTTTAATACAATATACCACTGTTATACTGTCTATGACTGTATAACAGCGCTTTGGGCTGCTCAGACTTTGGTACTATTTTGCTTGTAAACATGGCAGCAGAGAAGGAATGTTATGCTTTCCCACCGCAGCATTAGCTATGCTGGAAGGGGATTTTTATGGCGATAGCAGTTATACAGAAACACTTGACAAGCTTTTGCCGTTGTTATTGTGATGTTCCGTATAAGGTCCATAGCACTGCACAATGTATATTTCTCCCGTGAGTAAAAAGACGCAAGTAAGAACACAGCTGAGGCATAGATGAAATGAGCCAGCCATTTTTCATCACACAGAGGGCACATGTGTTAAATCAACCCGAATGCAAGGTCTGCTATCGAATTCTCTTCAAGCAGGGAGGACACTGTCTTTCTTAAGAAGCATGAAGGGTAACCAGGGGAGGGAGGGGGGCTGTGTTGCTCGAGAAGCAAGTATGATTTTTGGCCATAAGGGGGTGATCTCACATGCTGTCATACATGCTCTTTCGGCAAACATTGGCAAACCTCTTGGGTGACACTGACAAACTATGCAAAGATTTTATGCTTAGACCGGTGAAATTGGTGCACTTTAGTCTTCTGCAACGACTGCACAAATATGTTGTTGACCATGAGCTATTATATAATTTTCTGTTTTCCTTACCTGCTGTTGCGAAACTCTCGACAGCCTCGGGTGGTGGTGGCAGCCAAACTGGGACCACAACCAAGCCAGGAGCTACGCTGGAACAGAGCACAGCTGCGCCGGCACAACCACACGAGGCCATGCCACCCAGCACCAGTGTGGATGCCAGCACAGGGTTTGTAGCCGCAGCAATGTCTAAAGTGCTCCCATTCTAGACTTTGTGTGAACTCATGCAAATACCACTTTTTTGCTTCAAATCGAGCAGCAATAGTTGAAGAACTTTGCAGTGAATAGCCTAAATAATTGGGAAATTTTTTTTGGAATCCTGTCATGGCAACTTGGAAGTTCGCAACTCTGGAAAAAGAGAATGAAGCCAACTCACCCCTGATAAGAAGTGCCTGCGATGTGATGGTGATAGGGGTGTGTAGAAGTGTTATACAGTGTGCAGTTTCTCTGTCTTGAAGCTATCTAAAAGCTGTGGGTCGGGCCTAAAAAAATTATCGGATGTTACTCAAAAATATTTTTTCTAAAGGGACACTAAAGTCAAATAACAATTTACGTCAAAGTGAAAGCTCAATGTATGACAACACTTGAAACGACAATATTATCAACAACACTTTCCTACTTACCGAGAAATTAAGGTAAATGCACAAGAACACAAGCACCGCAGTAGGACATCTTCAAAATGATCCCGATGACATCAGACGGACCGCCTACAATTAATCACTAGTAATCGATCTAACTGCACTAAATAAAGAACTTTCCGTGCATCAAGAGACGCAAGAAAATGTTGCTTGTTCGTTTTTGTTTGATTTGTGGACAAAAGAACCACCGGACGTTACTATGGGGAATGGCGTGAGTGGTTCAAAAATTCAATTTTCGTGTGGTTACACGGGACAGGTGGTGCCATGATAACCGTAGTTGTTAAGAAGTAAGTTAGAGGAGCAGGCTTCATGAGTAGTGTCAAAGGTGCTGCAAGGAAGAAAGCAACTGGTACGGCACACAAACGTATATTCAAACAGAGAAAGGCACAAACGACACAAATACAAGGTACAGTGAGAGAATGAACGTACAGAGCATCTTTAGAAAATGGTTCAAAGAAACACTGTGCTCACAAATTTGGGGCTTGGCGTAGTGGTCGTGGTCGCATTGCTAGTCTCAAGCGAGAAGGGTCAGGTGGGTTGTCACAGGTTCATTTGCATCTGCTGGGCTCCGGAGCAGAAGACTAGTCTTGTGCGAATGTTGAAGCACTTCAAATATCCAACTCAATAATACAGTATACGAAGTTTCGAAGTATTCAAAATTAACAATAAATTTATTCTTCTATTCGTTCAATGCAAAGTATAGTATACAGTAAAATCTCGTTATAACGAACTTTGTGGGACCACCGAATTCAGTTTGTTATTCTAAAAAAACGTAGTACTGAAAAGGGATGTCCGTAATTTAACACAACAATGAAAATCACGTACCTTTGCAGGAGGTGCACTTGTTGGGGCGTAAATAATAATAAAAAGAAACACTGAGCACCACGTGGAAACAATTTACTGCTTAAAGAAGTCCGCTATCTTCTTCTGGCGAGTAGAAAGCAGATGCTGGTGAATATATATATAGGACTCCACGTCTGCAACCTTTTTGAGGATGTCATCGGGTACATTCTTGCAGCACCCTAGATACGATCGGGTCTTCTCAAGGTACTAGACCACAACATTCGACCTCTAATAAGCCTGTTTCGTTGTCCCAGTCTCTGCATCTGCAGTGTCATCCTCGTCACTACTAGGGCAATCTTGCTCCCGCACTTGACTGACGATTTCTTCACAGGTGAGCTCTGCGGACGTAGCCATTGCGCAGTCGCTGTTCACGTAATCCTCTAAGGTTACCGCAGTGTCTATCGGGAGCTTCCCGGTAAGCTCATTCCACTGCTCTGGATCGAGCTCCACTTCATCATTGCAGTCTCGTGGCGTAGTCTCGCAGTACTGCGCCGCAAGCAAAGTCACGAGAAGGCCTGCCTTTCGCCAGCAGTTACTAATGTTGCTGGTCTTGTTTTTCCACCACGACCCTGTCAGCATTTCTGCGGCTTGGCAGATGTTGACCTCCATTGGCAGCTTTAGTCGCATGTTGATGAGAAGGCGCTGCTCAAGTCGCTTCCGAAATTTGGCTTTGACACATCTGATGATACCTTGGTCTAAAGGTTGTAACAAAGAAGTACCATTTGGGGGTAGAAATTCAAGATGCACATTGCTCAACTACACATTCACCATAAGTGCCGAAGAGTTATCGACGATTAGAACCTTCCCCTGTTTCTTCTTCATTGTGTCGTCAAGCTGCAGCAGCCACTGCGTCAATAGTTCTGTCATCCATGCCTTCTTATTTGCCCGGTAGTCAGAAGGCAACAAGACGACGTTTTTCAAATAGCGACGCTTAGCGGGCTTGCCAATAACAAGAGGTTTGAGTTTCCGTGCCCTTGGCGTTGCAGCAGAAAAGCACTGACACGAGTACGCGTGATTTCTTTCCCCCCTTGCATTTTTTGCCTTCGAAGTTCATTGTTCTGTCAGGCTACAGATTATAAAAGCATGCCGTTTCATCGGAGTTGAAAACGTCGTCTGGACTGAATCTTGTTGTGTAGGGCTGGAGCGCAGCGAAGCCGGCGGCAGGCTTGGGGGCTAATTGCAAGAAGCTCCGTATTAGTATATTTGGAATAACTACACGTTCACCCCTTAATAGAAGTCCGTCTACGAAAGAAAGCTCTTCTTGTACATGTAAGTAGGCAATTAGTACAGTGTCAAGTTTTTTTTTCTGGGGCCATTCTTGAGTTACATAGTTGACGACCCATTGCAATGTTTCATCGGAAGCAGTAGTTGCCTGAGTAGTTTGCTTATCGACTACAGTGCGACTCCGTGTATTATTTGGTCCCGAATTCTTTCGTCGTAAGCGGCGCCAAACTTGCATGTAAGGGCTTTCTCCTTGAGGGCTGCAACGAATTCGAGGAAGGTTTCCCCGGGTAGTTGGCGGATCGTGAATAAGTGCCGCTCAGCTAGGACGTTCGTTGTGTTTGTGAAAAGCCTATTAAGAAATTGGAGTAGGGTGTCGTACTCTGTTGGCGTCGTCGATGCTGCCGTGCCAGTCTCTGTCGCCGCCGCTTCTTTGTCAGACGTTGACACTGCCGCTGAGCTCGATGCAGTTTGTGTAGCATTTGAAACGGCTCACGCTTCGAGCTGTGCCTGCGCGGCGAAGTATTTCTGCTGAACTTGGATGTTGAGTGCGCTGAGCAGTGCTGCCACTCGTCTGTCAGTCGCCCAGCCGCCTCTGCTGGCCGCCTTGAGGTGTACGTGAAAAATTTGTTTCCATTTATGCCATGGAATAAAAGGCGCGCCAGGTACGTTGAGGAACAGAGGAAGGTTGGCAAAGAGGGCAGCCATGGGTGCAGGAAGGAGGCAGCAAGCTGAAGTGGTAGGGTGCCATCGTGAGGAAGCCGGAGCAAGCACAATGAAAAGTTAGTCAGGCGGAGGCAGCGTGGCGCGAAGATATGTGAAAGCATCGACATGCAGTAGAAGGTGGCGTGAAGAGGCACTTACGTCGGGTACTTCACGGCGCCGCCTGAGTTCAGGGTTCAGTACCTCGTCGCGACATGTTGTGTAGGGCTCAAACGCAGCGAAGCCAGCGGCAGGCTGGCGGAGAGGCTGAGCGACCGGTGAATGACGACACAAAGACGAACTTTGGCTTGGCTGACGAGAGAATGCTCTCCCGTGTTTATTGCAGCAGTTTTTTAAGGATCGGGAACAAGGTGATTGGTCAGTGACACACTGGTCACATGACTGCATGTACAGGCAGGGTTCGTTGCCGAAAACTGTCCTTGTGAAGGCTCAGCTCCACCTTGGGGCATATACAGGAAACTATAACACACTGGTGTGTTAACACGACACTAGGGGTAGCGCGACACATCTGATCTCCTGAAAGCACTTGTTTCGCCAGGCAAACGCACTTTCAGCATCTGCCGCCTTTTCTTTCCCTCATGCGACTTGCTAAACAATGCCATTCTTTTGCCAGAACCGATACAGCCATCCGACACTTGCATCGAAGCCGAAGGTGCCCAAAGCGACCACGAACTGCCGTGCCTTTCCTTGAATAATAGGGCCAGACAAGGGCACACTGTGGTGTCTGGCATCCTTAAATCATGCGAGGACAGCGTCTTCGACGATTTGGTAGTCGCCCAGCCGCAAGTGTTTCTCGAGGGAGCCAGCTGTGATTCTCGATGTAATTTCAAGATCTTCTCTTGATCCTTCAGTATCAATGCCACTGTTGACGGCACAATATCAAGCTCCCTGCATATGTCCACTTGCTTTTTTCCATCGTTTAGCTCCTTCAGAATGACCACTTTTTCTTGAAGCAAAAACTGGCGTCATTTTCTTTTAACGCTGGAAACAGGAGAACTCATTTCCAAAGAAGCAAACTCGAACGCGACCTTAATCTTCATGACTCCAACTGCCAGCAACTAACATTATAAGGAAGAAGCGGGACTAAGCCTATGACCGCTTCGACTGCTCGGACCATGTGGCTCAGACGTAGTTGCATGTATCTGATGCTCGTGTCGATGTTGATGCTGACGGGGCTGCACCCATTGAGGCGAGTTTCCCTGCGTCATGGAGGAAGAAAATGCTGCCCAGTGCATTCAGCTGCAGATGATGATGATAGGAGTAAGCTTCAGTGATTTTCGTACCAAAACATCCTTGGAAGTTCGTAATAACGAAGCATCTAGTTGATTTTAAGGATAAACTCTGTACATTAATCTGAAATACTCCGTATTCTGAAATTTGCAGTACTGAAAGTTTTTTACATTGGCAATATAGGCGTTTTGGTGGGGATTTCGAAAAAATTCGTAAATACGAAAATGTTATTATTGTGATGTTCTTAGTAATGAGATTTTACTGTGCATATTCCTCTGCATTTAGTCCCCCTGTAAAGATGATTTGATGCATTGAAGTGGTGCTGTACCGTGAACACTCCTATCTAAGGGAAATACACCTGGCCATAAAGCCCTTCTTCAAAGTTAAATGAATATATTATACTCCCATCGATTCATCATTTTTTAAAGTTTAAAAGCTTGTTATACTGTCTTTTATACTTCAATATAGTTAATTGTAGTGTACTGGAGTATAACAGGAGTTAATTGGAACAGGT